ACGTGGGATTCTCTTCGAGCAACGGATCGACACACGCTTCTGGTTTTACAGAAAGAAGTTATACGTTGTTAGTAAATGATTCTTTTCTCCTTTGCAAAAATTCTACTACAAATTTTATATGGGTACGCAAACTTTATCATTCGTGATAAAAATTAATTTGTAGAAGATGATCAATTTACAATACACTGCTGTTTTGTGTCTTTTTCTGAAATATATTTCTGTATATTTTTTAAATTGGATGAGGATTATATGTGTAAAATAAATTAGAAACAGTAATTTTTAAAACTGTGATAATGTATATGTATATAATACGATTTAGCAGTTACATATAAAAAGTTATAAGCGTCTGATTAATTTAAGAATGATTTTAAGAATAAATGTTATAATTGTTTATAAAATAATATCATGAATATTAGACATAAAGAAATAAAGTACTTTTTAGAAATAAAGTACTTTATAGCATGAAAAGTGAATTACTGCTGCCATCTATCCTCTGAGAAGAATAAATTCTTCACATAGTTAGCAAAAAAAAATATATTTAATATATTTATAATATACTGCTTATAAAACAGTAAATATATTACTAATGTTAATGATTAATTATATTATTTTATATTGCTATTTTATTATCGCTTAATAATCATAGATTTATAAAGACTGGATATGCTCGAACTTGTAATAAGATTTTTTTAAGCAAATTATTTTGTTAAGCTAATAATATACTGTATTATCAAAGATGTACGTATAAGAAGCTAATACACTTATACTGCAAAAATTATTACATTATAGTGACATGCAAAAATAACATACTTGATAAAATGCTTAGTTTTAATGTATTTTAATATTTTTTGTCGAAATTTATCATTAATGAAACTTTATTATATTTCTCGATAAGTAAATTAAATTAATATTTAAAAAATTATATTTACGTAGTACGAATGTTATCTAACATTACTAACGTTGTTGATTGACATTGTTTGTAGTTGATACAAATTGTCGGTAATTTATCTACGGCAGGTATATCACAAAGTGCTATCACTTTCTAATTTTATTGTAACATTAAATATTTAAATATATATCACAATTTTTACTTTGAACAACCTCACGCGTTTATATCACATATTAGTATATTATTTTGAGAATATATTTTGTGAATTTATATACATTATAATTATATTAACTTTTTATCATATCGTACAATACATAAAGCACACTCTGGCGCACACTAAAGACAACTTGTTAAACTCTATGTGAGCAATGCTAAACTTTATCTGAATTTCAGATACTATTCTGAATTATAAATTATATTATGTTAACATACAAAGTTATTTTAACGAAATTATTTTTAAATGAAAATTACTTTTTATGAGAAAATTTTACGAAAAGTTATTTATTTATATTTTTGATTATATTATTACTTGGATACGGAGAGATTCTTCAATCAAGAGAAAGAATATAATGCTTAACAGATTCTTCCCGAAATCTGTACTTATTGATAAGTATTCTTCCTTAGACTATCATTCGAAGAAATTTCGTTCTAATATAACGTTTTGATAACCGTTTATTACGTTCATTGCAGGGTTGTGCCGTAGATTTTAAGATTACGTCTACACGGATTATTTCAGGGTTGTGCATCTACGCGTAAAATATAATACTCTACGTTTACGTGTAAACAACGTAAACTATTGTAAAAGTGTCATCTATGTAGATAGTCAGTAGACTATATATTTATTTATTTAATAAATATATATAAT